AATGTGATAAAACGTAACTTGAATTTATTTAACACCCAATCTCCCAAGCCTTTTTTTTTTTTTCTTTTTTAAATCTAAAACTTTGAGATCCTCTTTCTTAAATAACTGTTGGATGAACTGACTCATAGCCTATGTAAACATGCATTGCAAGGCAAAGTGATGTTGGAAATACAAAGAGCTTGTTTGATTTGCAATCCAATCTTAGTCTGTCTAGGTCATAATTTCATACATATCACTGGAAATCATGACTCCTTGTTCCTCATGCCCAGCATGTTCTTGGAAAGTTGAGCCATACCCAGTGCCAGCTATCCTGAAGGAAAGCTAGGAATAGGGGTCTGTGATGACATTTACTGGTGATGGCGATCTGGTTTAGGACTAAGAAGTGAAGGAAGGTTACCATTATACTACTGGGAAAAGATATATTTCTTTCCTTCCTCTCACTTTTTTTTTTTTTTTTTTTTTTCCCAATGAAAATAGGGCTTTGAAACATGGTGGAAGACACAAGCTGCCTACACCTAGGGTGACTCCCTGCTGACCTATGGGGGCTCCTTTCAGGAGCAGAGGTGGCTGCTGTGGCATGTCTGCTTCTGGGAGGGAACTTCAGTGCTGTGTCCAATGCCTTTCCCAACTGCTGAAATTCACTGAGGGGAAAATACAAAAATAAATGTCTTGGTTTTATTTTCCATTGAACTGAAGTTTCTTTAGAATTGACTGCTCCACATACTACTCACCTTGCTGGCAAAAGCATCGGTGATCAATGAGGACAAAGTGATTCTGACTGTCAGCTTGTCACATACATCCAGAGCAAACGAACACATCAGAAGCTGATTTTGTGCAAGGCCTGCTTTTGATTTGTGCATTTTTCTGGCAGACTTGGGCTATGCCCTATTACTTTCTTACAATAAAAGGGAACGTTTCTTCTACTGGAGCTTGCAGCATGCAGCTGCAATAATCATAGGGGAGCCCCAGGTGGTCTGATTTATGGTGTTTAATGTGAACCCCTGAGGTTTTGTAGGGAGAGATTATATAAGGTATAAAACATTTTTGTAGAATTGTTTTGCAACACTTCAGTTCAAACTTTGCAATGGGCCTGCTTCATTTATCTTGTTGCCCCAAGATAGCTTATCTCAATGCGTGTTTATTAAAGAGCTCCTAAATCCTGTTAAAGTTGCTTCTGAAAATATTCTGACTGATGGCAGTGTTGATGAGGGTGAGTCATTGCTGAGAACACAGTGCTCATCAGGATGGTTTTTCAGCTGATGGGGTTTGGCAGAGTGCCATGGAAGTTCATGGTGCTTTTCTGTGGATTGATACTGGGTGAGGACTGAGATTCCAGGCAGGCGTTGACTGACCAAAGCTCTGTGGATTTGTACTGGCCAAGAGCATGCAGTTCATAAAAGCAAGCTCTGAAACTGAATCAGTCAAATACTTTTACCCAGGGAATGATATTTATTGCTGTTAGCAATGTGTTAGCATGCTTCTGCGAGGATGTATCTGTGAAGCAGGCTAGGAGCAAGAAGCTGTTTGTTTAGTTTCGCTGCAGTTGTTAAGGTACCAGTTACAGGTTTCATTGCTGTCCTTCTCAAGAACAAGTTGGAGCAAGCTTGGCTAGTGCTACCCCTCCTCGCACTGGGAGTCCGTGGCGGGAGCGGTAGAGGAGGTGTGCTGGCTGCACCCCTCCAACTGGCACCAGAGGCAGGGAGTGACTGGCTTAGCAAGCTCAAGGGATGTGCCTGAGGCTTTGGCTGAGCCTCTTCAAACAATAGTTTGTCCAGGCAAGGAGGCTGATTTCCACCCTGGTACAGCCCATGACTCAGAGTCCATGCTGGAGCCCTTCTCTGTGCTCTCAGGGAGCAGGGTTGCAAAATACCATGACAGGTCCAGATCTCATCCTCCCTCAGCAGCCAGAGGGGCTTAGACTCAAGGTTTAAATCTAGATTCCTCTGTAACTAGAAATGGCGTGTGTATATAGTATTACTAGCCAAGATAGTCCTGAAGATGGCATTTTTGTCCTCAAGTGTTTAGTGAAATAAGTAAGGTTGCAGCTGGGGGGGGGAGGGGGGGGGGAAGGTACTTGCTATAAGCTGATGCTTGCTTGATGAGGAAGTGAAGGAATGAAATCAGGGTATAGGCTTTGCATGGGTACAACGATTAAACTTGTACTGGATCAAGGTAGGGGTTTGGTTTTTCTTAACCCTGTCTCTTCCTGTGCCACCTACAAATGAACAAATTTCCCAATTTTTTTGGCAGAGTAGATGTTTGTTATAGCTCTTGGTTTCAGCTAATGACAAGGAGACACAATCTGTAATCTTACCTATTAACTGCCCTGTTCATTTACTACACCCTTTCATTTACTACATTAAAGCAGTAGTAAAAAGCATTCAAAGAGACACAATGGGGCAGCATAGCAGCCCCAACAGAGTTTAAGGCTGAGTATTATATTACCAAATTATGTTTTGGGGGGTGGTGGTGGTGGTTAGGGGGGAAAAAGGATGATGATGTGCCTGTTTACAGGAAGGTTGGGCAAAAGGTCAGGGAAAGTGCATAATTATTATCGGCTCTGCTGAGGCCACACCTGTGTGAAATGTTTAATGCTGACACAAGAAAGAACTTGAAGTGTTTGAAATGTACAAGCAGCGAAGATAACCAGAGAACTTCAACTGAAATTTAAACTGCATTAAAAAGCCTGATGCAGGATGGAGAGACCAAAAGCAGCCCACAGAGATCTAAAAATGTAGTCAAGGCCACCCTCATCTAACTGAAGACATGAAGTGCACGGAGCTTACAGAGATTGGCATGAAAATGGTCCATGAGGAGTAGCCTTGGCAGATAAAGGAAGAGGGCTTGGTTTTAGTTTGAAGTGAACATGTTCTGTAAGCAAGACAGGCTACTGCCATGGTTTTACTGCTGGATTTAGAACCTGTAAACTGGAAGATTGATGGGCTTCTGTACTTGCACACTTACTCTACAGGAGGCAGAAGCCGTTTTCTGCATTGCTACAAATCTGCTTAGCTTTGCTAGCATCAGTCAGTTTGTGACTGTTTATACTAGTTCAAACTTACTGCCGGTTGCAACTTGCTCACCACTGCTGACTGGAGTAGAACCCAAATCTGGCTCCTGTACTTATGCTTTATCATAACAACCTTCGTCGTCTCCTCCTTTGAAAGTCTTGCACTGGGGATATTGAACCCTAAAGGAGAAGTGACTCTCAGCAGACGTAATTTTGTATGAGTAATTCACTTTTAAAGCTTGGATATATTCCATCTTCCTTGTGACTAATGGTACCCGAACAGAACATAATTGTATAATCATTTTCCAATTGCTTAATAACTCATTTTCCTTGTTTGTAAGATGCTGTTTTTAGCTTTTCAGAGAGATGCGAGGACCTGCATGCCATAATGAGTGACAGACAATTGTTTATTTCTCAGCAATAATGCCATTAAAGAAAACCTCTTTATGTTTAGAGCCATGACAGCTGGCCAGATCCTGCCATTCTTACTCATCTCTCATCGCAGTGAAAGGCCTGCTGGCAGGCAATTAGCCCACAGTTTCACATCACGTTGTCTTTGGCAGCGACGCTCACTTGAGGAACTCTGACCCCACTGTTTCCGCCTCCCGATCCCCGCCTAAAAGCCAGCACATCCTGGCAGCCTGGGGCTGTGCTGTAGGGGAAGGTGCGGTGGCCCCCATGAATATTTTCTGTTGGTGAAGCTGATGGAGAGGATAGGAGAAACCAGCTGGGAGCTGAAACCTCTCAGGCTGGCTGTTGGAGGGGGTTGAGCTTCTTTCTTAAATGAGAACATGGAGAGGCTGGGCTGGGCAAAAGGAAAGATCCCACACGTGTAGCAGATAATGTTGCTTCTGACTGCTGGTTCAGCAGAGTGAAGTTATTTAGGAGCTTGGCAGAGGGAAAGGAGCAAAAGAGTGGATGTTTGTGGAAATGCACGTGTCTCTGATCTGGCAGGAGAGCTGTGAAGGGTGCACGAAGACCAGAAATTTCCCTGAGGCTTTGATATTAATCTTACTGCCCTAGAAGGAGAGGGGACCAGTGCAGGAAAATAGCATAAGTTATCTATGATATCTATACTACCTATTTTTAATCAGAGCTGATGTCTCTGTGACTTCACTGTTGTATTATTAATAAGATGAATGAAGAATGTTCATGCTTTTAGGGGAAAGGATGCCTGAGCCTTCTATCTCGGTGGTGGTGTTTAGAGGTAGAAAGAGAAGCCTTTTGCATGGAGGCAATAAATATCTATTCCCTCCAAGAGGCAGCAGGCAAGCTGTGCCCAAGGTATCTTTCCAGGAACCGCAACCTCCTGAAAGAAATGGAAACTTGAAGTGCAGAGGTCCAGATGGAATTGGATTGAAATACCAAACCCAGTGAATGTCCACTTAGTTCTAGCAGGGTTGTGTGATCCTGGCTAGGATGAAGAAATTAATCTTATACTGCAATTACAGACATGAATACTAAAATCCCTGTTGCGTTTGGTGGTGCAGTACCAAATGCTAGTTTGGCTTACATGAATTGGTGTTCTAGTCTTGGACAGTTTGATCAGTGGAGCACTAGATTTCTAGAAGAATCACAAAGAGAATTTTCTACAGGGTCTTTTGAAATCTATTGAACATGACAACAAAACTCAGAGTTGGGTGATGCTCTTGGGAATTGTGTTTGAGAGGAGAAATTTATACATGTATCTGAATATTAAAAGCTCAGCTCTTGTGAAGAAATGCCACCAACTTCTTCAGAGTTGCACAAAAGGTACATTTAAAAGTAGAAAAATCTGTGGAGAATAGGGATTTGAATTGTACTGCATTTGTCAGTGGATGCCTAGAGGTTGCTGTAGTTGATGTATTTGGTGGTACCACAAACCAGTGAGAGGACAATAGGACCAGTTGAAAAATCAATATTGAATCTTAACTACCTGAATAAGTATTTCTGTTCTGGCATTTGGACCCACCTGCAGGGATACCTGACTTGTCTCCTTCCCATTATCCAGATAGCTACCAAGATGAGGAAAGAACCAGTTTATCTGATGACCTGGGGAGAGTAGCTGCTGAATTAGTTGCTGTGAAATACCTATAGGTGAGTGTTTAATCTGGGACTTCTTTAGAGGAAGAATGTGTTTGGCTTTGTTACTTTTTTCCTGATGTGAAAATATTTGGATCATCTCTTTGGAACTTCTGTTATTGCATGCATGGAAGTTTCTGCAGACTGTTCTAGTAGAGGAGCATTGCATTGTTTTTGTTTCCTGCTGGTATGAATTTTTTAGATTTCTTTTTTTCTGATATTGCCAAAATCTGCTATAGCAAGTTATGGTATCTTACAACCCGGTCCATGTTGAAATGTAAACCCATTGCAACACAGCCCATCTGGCAAATACTGTCATAGCTTTTAAAAAGTTGTCCTCCTTTTCTGTTGGCGTTGAGAATTTTATTAAACAAGTATTTATTTTTCCAAATTCCCCATGGGCAAAAGCAGGTAGAAGGTAGATACAAGGTTATAATTAGACATAGGTATTTCACATTAATCTCTCTTAATTTTCTTTCATCCTACCTCCAGCGTGCATTCTCTCGTTCATAATTGCCACTGGATAATTTGAAGTCATTTGCTTACTCAGGGTTTTATGCCATACACTCATGGATTGTAGCAGATGAATCCTCTGCAAAAAATAAAATGAGAAGCTCATTCTTGCTGTATAGGTAGCTCCCTCTCTCCCCATCCCAAAGTTATTGAGCAAATTGTTGCTATTAATTTTAAAATTACTTGTTGCTCAGGGAAAAGTCAAGTGTTCAGAGGAATTTTGCAATAGATTCAAGACTGACTTTGCCTCTCCAGGAGAGCTGTTCCATGCTATGAGTTGGTTGCCTAAATGCCTGGTGTGTGGTTACTCCTAGGCTTTTGTGGGGATTTCATTGTTCCCAAGGAACTTAGTTGCAAAGGGAGAAAGGGTTGCTCAGCTATCTGATTCTTAGTCCATATAGGATTTTTAGACTTAGAGCACTGACTCCCATATGGATGCTGTACCTGACCTCAGTGATGAGTACAAGGTGGTTGCTTTTTAATCCCTCCCCCCCAGCCCCAATCAATGTTATGCTCTGCAAGAGTGAAATATTTAGCGCTTATTTGGAAATACTACTGCTGCTTCACCATGGGGCATGAGGGAGGGGAGTCCTCCCCAAATGGAAAACCTAAGAGAATGCAGAAAGAATGGAAAAAGCAAACAAACTTGCAAGGCTCCCTAGCATAGTAAATACGCTCTAGCTTCTGTTACCTAAATGTAGGGCTTGATCATGGTGAAATTTTAGTGGCAGTTGTCCTAAAAGGAGAGAATTATTTTTCTAGTTCACTGTCTTCACCTCCGTTGAAGTGCACTTTCCTTTTTTATGGAGTTAAGTCACATAAATCCTTTGGTTCATTAGATATGGACCAACAAAAGGGGAAATATGCTTTCACCTAGCTGTTCACTGGGGAAAGGCCTACCCCAGTTTCCAAACAGGTTGAAGTCCTTGTGTAGTTCTCTTTCCTTTGTTTTTTTTTTGGCCACACAGCCCACTGAGTTGGGCAGAGAATCGTTTACTGTCAAACAAATGTGTTTACACAAAAGCAAGTCCTAGCAAGGCTTCTTATGCATCAAGACAGAATATTCCCACTGCCTTTCCTTGCAGTTCAGTCACCAATGGCTCAACCTCAGTTTCCCTTTCTTTTTGTTAGGGACCAACACATACAAGGTTTTTCTTATCCCTAAGAACTTAGGCCACAGCTAAAAATGCATTTGTGACCTGCTTTCTTTTGGCTTTCAGTGAGAATTAAAACCATTACTACAGCAGGGGAATGGTCCTACATAGCACCATAGGCTGACTCAAACATTGCACCATGTATTTTCTGAAAGGCAAATGTCATCCCACTGGGTTAACCTGTCGGACACACGCTGATCTCTTACTTTGTATTCACTTCCTTTGGTCAAGAAGTATGCAAAACCTTGGTCTTCTACACTGGTAAATGTATTCTGCTATTCACATTTCTTCCAATCCATTTTATGCAGCCCTATTTTTTTGGTTGAAGTCTTTCATATGCCAAGTCATTTATCTTATAAAACAGCTACTTAGTTGCAACTTTGGTGTTAGGAATTTACAGTGTGATAGAGCTGGGGACAGGGTGGCTGAAAATCAAACATTATCAAGCAGAAGCACATGCCACTTCTTGTGTATCTCATCCTGCAGTTCTTTGAAGTTTAATCTTTTCAAAAGAAAAGCCTTTCAGCTACTTTGTGGCAACAACTCGGGCTTGTAACTTTTGACTGCACAGTGCTCCTAGTTCATAAACTGATCTCATCCTCTTCTGACAATTAATACTAAAGTGAATTTAAATTGGATCTGCTCCTGCCACCTGCATCAGCTGTCTGGAACAGTCTCCTACCTTGGTCTCCCACACTAATGCTCTCTGTACCTTTTCAAACTGCTGCTAAAAATCCTGACCTCCTTTAGGGCTCTGGCAGCCAGCAAGCTATCTACCAGCTTCCCTTCACTTGTGGATTTGGTAACGCATCCGCTTTGCAGAGCTGTAGAGGTCTGCAGAGGAGATGGGTGACGGAGCACTGGGCCCTGTGTGCAGGGATCAGGATATCGGCTTAGCAGTGCTGTAAGCCTTTGGAGCCACCCTTCATATTCTGCCTCAGCTGCATTAAGATGCAGCTCCGAGCAGGGGCAGTGCAGCTCACACGTACCCCGGACAAAGCCTGGTGTGGCCTTGTCCTTCCTTCTCCTGCTCTCCTTCTTGTTTTCTCTGCAGAGCTGCGATCCCATCTTTCCATCCCTCTCCTGAGCAGTTTTGTGGACTGTGGGCATTCATAAACAGGCACGCGTGTTCTTGTAGGTCGAATCTGGGGGTATAAAAGGAGGAACTCTCCTCGCATCCTTTGTTTTTCATGCAAGCAAGGAGCATTTACAGGCTGGCTCTCAAGCTGTCAGTTCATCTAAAAAGTACTACCTTAATTACTGAGTTAAGAGTGGAAATATTTTTAGACAAAAAAATAGAAATAGTATAAATGTGGGCTGGTAAACAGCATATGTCACATTGTCTTGCAGTTTGTTCTGTGGTCAAAAGAATAATTATACTAATGTCTTTTTTCTTCTCCTTTAGGTCCATGTTATATAGTAATTCTCCTTGCATTGAATTGTTAGAGGGTTGTATTAATAGTAAGGTCTCTGAAATAGTTTGTGAACAGAGACTCATGGAGTCAAGACCAAGAGCTTATGATGTACATCTGTATTTCTAATTGCAAGTTATACACGTCAGAGCATTCATTACGCATCCTATTTTCAAGAACTCAGCACTCGTACAGAATCACAGAATAGTTTGGGTTGGGACCTTAAAGGCCATCTAGTTCATAGCTAGGGACAAATTTTCAAACATTCTGCTGGTAAAGCCTGATGTATTGGGTAGCTGTAAAAACGTGGTTCTTACCTACCAAATTGCATTTTGGAAATCCTGGTAACTTATTTTAGTTGCCTTAACAGCATATTTGGTTAAACACCTACATTCATAAAGTCATCTTGCACTTTGTGAACTGATGTTTCCTGAGGACTTCTACGTATTGGTGGCATAATTTGTTTCCATGGAAACCAACATAATTTTAAAGGAAAATAATAATAAAAAGGACATCAGGGAACATTAAAAAATGAATAAAAGGCCACAGCAGGTTAGAGCACAGGTCTGTCAAGATGTGTGCCATGTATTCTACAGTGGCCAACAGAAGGTCCCTGGGGGAGGTACATTAGAAAGATGCAAGTGGATACTGAAACTACTCCAGAAATGCTTTCAGCTTTAGCAGTTCTGGATTCCAGAATTTCCTGAGCCCAAGGTGGCAGCCTCATGAGCAAAATGAAAATTTTATTGCTACCTGGAAAACCTTGTACAGCACAATGACACGCCTTCATAATCAGGCTCTGGCAACAATGCAATTCTGCAGAGAATGTAGGGGCAATTTTACTGTGTTTAGTTGTTAATTCATCCTTCCTCAAGGAAAATGCCTGCTAGCTTAGCTTCCTTAAAGGTTTCAAGATTAACTGTCTAGAATTCATCACAGAGATGCTTTAGGGGAAGAACTGGGGTCACAGGGTTTCATTTAGAATGACAGTTGGGAAGAGAGCAATCCTCTGTATATTATTACACTCTTTTATCCTAAGAGGTAATCATTTGCTCATTTTTTTTAATATCACATATCTAACATAACCTTGTTCACTTCACCTGCCCTTTGTCCCTGCCCCTGTCCATCTCTATCAGGACACTGCTTTTGAAACAGGTGGTTAAGTCAGTGTGCTGCTTGTCCTTTTTTAAGGAGGATTGCACACCTTCATGTACGTTGAAGCCAGGCTTCAAAAAAATGTGGTTTCCAATTGTGAAAGTGTGCAATTTTTTTCTATACATATGGAAGTGAGTATTGAAATTTCAGCACACTGTCAGTGCTGAAACTTAAGGGAGTGTTCTCCTTGCATGCTAAATTGCATCAGTGAAAAGCCTTCCTTCTTAGCGAGAAGGCAAGAGGTGCGCCCATGTGCTCACATGCAAGCTGCTTGATCCCAGCTGACAAGCATAGTCCTAATATCCCATAAACCCGATGAGTTGCTCATGGCTTGACCATACTCTGCTGCAGATCTTCAGATATCCAGAGCATGTACTGCGTGTTTGCCTACGCGGGCTAGTGAAGTAGTAGTTTGGGAAAATCCCTGATTTATTAAGCGTTAAACAGAAAGTCCACCTTTGCTGTTAATTGGAATCTAAATTCAGGTGTTAACCTCTGACTGAAAGTACGTGCTGAGTAATTGCAGGAAAGGGGCCAGCTTCAGGCACAGCAGTAATTACTGAATTAGTAGAAAAGTTCAAGAAGAGCTTCAAATTTCATATCATTGCTAAGGTTTCTCAGGAACAGCTAATCCTGAAGTGATTGGCTTCCTCACACCTGTATATGTTTTTGGAAACTCCACCTAAATTTTAAACAAATCTGTGTGAATAATTCCAGAACCAGATATCAACATTTCTTAAAATATTTTGGTCTTAAATGCAGAAAATCAACCAGCAGTGAT